GTCGGGTGTGTCACAACGTTCAAGTAAGATAAAGGACCAGTTGCTTTAATTTTGGGTTACAATTCAAGTTATTATTTTTTTTATCAAACAAATTGATCAAATATGCATGTAGTAATATTTTCTTTTAGATATTATGTTATTAGACATAACTAAACAATTTAATTTTTATTTCCTTTTTGGAATTAGATGTCTTATTCGCTGAAACTTTTAGGAAAAAAAAGATTTTTCACATTAAAATTTGAGCTTGTATAACCCATTTAAATTCTAATAGTATTAACATAATATATTCATCTTCCATTGACTTTATGTGTTGTTGGAGATATATAGTTGGAAAATAATAAAATTGTAGTTTCAGCCTAGTCATCTTACATAGAAACGTCGATAGAGATCGAAATAAACTTTAAATTTAAAAAAAATCATTTTTGAAACTTATGTTTTTTAAAAACTACTATTTAGAATATTCTTAATAATATTTATTTGACTATCATAATTAAGTACTCACTAGTTGATAAAAAAATAAATATATTACACTCATATCAAGAGATTATTAATTAGTGCAAGAGAAAGTAAAAAAAACTCAAAATTAATTATGAAAGGGGTCAATTTTAATTAATAAAGAATAATAATATATAAATAAGAATAAATGTAGAAAAAGAAAAGAAAAGAAAAAAGGGGGTTAATTTGAATTAATATAAAATTGTAATAAATAAATAAGAATGAATGGAGAAACTGAAAAGAAAAGGAAAAACGGAGCAAGCAAAAAAATGATGTCTTGTTGGCAGATTCTCTCCTTCACCAATTGAGCTATTTCGTAGTATGATCACTAAGTGGCAAAACTATATTTAATTTTATATATATATATATATTCACACACAATATCTTTTTCGAGATTATTGGGTGCCGCGCGTGACACCTCCACCTGTCCACGTAGATCCGCCCCTACTCAAAACTTCTATAACATGCTTGATTTCGAAATTTTTCAACTGCTATAATGACTGACTGTTATATAGTATAACATTTCACATTTCAAATATATTTGGTTGTTATAGGTTACCAATACCAGATAAAGCAAAAAATGAGATAAGTCTGATTTTAATAGCATGATATTCAAAATAAATAAATTTTAAGCCTACTCAACTCAAAATTAGCTTGTAATATGAAAATCGAAATCAACTAAAAAAGTGGTATGACTTTTAAACCTAACTCAACTCAAAATTAGCTTGCAATATGAAAATCGAGACCAAATAAAAAAGTGGTGTGGCTAACCTGGACATAAAAAAGTGGTGAATATGGAGTGTTAGGCTCATGAATATCATCCCAAAAGACAAGCTGACCTTCTATATTTTTCTTTTCCTTAAGATGAATAAAATCATCAAAATTCATTTGAATTTCAGCTTCAATCAATCTAACACCAGAATCATTTGACACAATTTCAAATTCCCCATAATTAGTATCATTTTCTCCTATACTTCTAAGTCTACCAGCAAGTAATGGTTTTTCAACAAGTGCCTTTCCTAGTGACTCCTTTATCCAACCAGCGACCATCGATCCTGAATCCGTCTCTGATACCTTATTATAACAAAACACCATGTGAAAACGCCTTTGAAAATTGCCCGAGCCAGGATTTTCACCAATGAAAACTCGTCGCGATATCCTTGGATCAGTTTGCTTCATTGGCATCACTGTTTGGATTGCTTCAATTTGCAAGTTGGAGACAAAATCATGTGCCACTCCAATATTTTCATTGCAATTTGCCATGTTGAAAATTATAAGAATTAAATGTATGTCATATGTTGTGTGATATTACTAGGCATTATATAGACAAAGAAAGAATGCATTATACTCCCTCCGTCCACTATTAATTATCATACTTTTCATTTTCAGAATCAAATCATAAAAATTTTAACTAATATTTTACGATATATTTATTTATTATATTGATATGCAAAAAAATTGTAATGTATAGTACTTTTCGTCTACAGTTTTTGAATATCTAATTATTTTTTAAAAAAATATCAAATTAATATAATTTAATTTAACTTTAAAAATTAATTAAATTATTTTTAAAAAATACAACATGACAAATAAAGCTAAACGGTGGAAATAGAATCGATGAATTCAATGTAATCAAAGATTGGTTGATGCAACTAACTTTCATTAAAAATTAGACCAAAAAGATAAATAACTTTCATTAAAGAATTGTACTGGAAACTTAATAAAGGACATCTTTCTAGCATATTTGGTTATCAGAACACAAACTACTTTACCTTCCATCTAATCTAATCGTATACACGATTCATTTTTACTAGTCCATTATATAAAAAAAAATATGTATTTACAGTATATCAAGAACATAGTATATTATTATTTTTAAATATTAATTACTCATTCCACAAATCATTTCTCAAAACCTAATATTAACATCAATTAGTATAAATATATATTGTGGTAACCGGTAATATATATATATCAATCATTATTTTTTCAGAGATGTACAAAGTCTAAATAGAACGAGTAAAATTGAACGTATCATTCGATTATGAGGACATGTATCCCTTTTGTTTTTACATATTCGAACTATCTCTGTTTTACTTTCCGCATCTAATTCACCACTTAAATTATTCTTAAATATCTTCATTCGTAATCTTATCTCTTATAGTATGTACGTTTACAGATTCATCTAGATTTGGAATTAAAGATATATCTTTATATATGGACTAGAATTATTGGTGGTCTTTGTTGGTATGAATATAATTTCCTTCCAAATCCTTTTGCCGGTAGGTAAGTATTTATTCTTGGTCCTATGTATACGAGGACTGAAAATTGTTTGTGTCCACTTGTCTATATATTTTTAAGGAAAAATCAAAATTTTTAAAACACGAAAATATTATAATTTTCTTTGGCATCGTTCGAAATGAAAAATTAGAGATCATGAACTTGAGGGACAAAAATTAAAGATCACTCCGTAATAGCACAATTCGTGCAAAAACTTGTCTCAAATGGGCTATTGGATTCACATAAAGTTTCAAATGGGCCAAATAGAAAGACAAACGTTTTGGTGGAGTGAAAAAATGGCCCAACTAACTGGACCTATTTTATTTTATTTTGTCTTGATAGTAGTAGGTATAATTTAAAGTTTGAGAAAATTTTAGAAATAGTAAACATAATAGATATAATAATGTTTTATCTATCGTCTCGATGATTGTGCACAATGAATGTAGTTTTATTTATTATGAAGATTGCAATATGTATATTTCGCTTGCAAATATATAAATTGGGTTAGTATATACAAAATTTATATTTATACAGCTAGGAATTTTTAAGAATTTTGTTTCTATATTTCACTTGCCAATATACAAACATGGTACTCCATCCGTTTCACAAAGAATGGTCTAATTTGACTTGACACGGAGTTTAAGAAAATAAAGAAGACTTGATTATGTGGTCTTAAATTAAAATTATGTCAAATGTACAAAATCATTCTTTAATCTTGTGACCTTAAACATGCCACGTGGAAAGTTGAAAAAAAAAAGGTCATTCTTTTTTAAACAGACTAAAAAAGAAAAGGAAATCATTCTTTTTGAAATGAAGAAAGTAATTTATTTTGATTTTTTGTTAAATCTTATATTAATAGCTAGATAAACATATACAAATTCTGAATTTATACAATTAAGAACTAAATTATTCAAAATTCTTATTGACCGGCGAACTTATATAAATTAGATGAATTATACATACTTCTAATTTGAATTCTCTAATAAATAAATTTGTGTGCATAATCTTAATGAATATTTTTTTTCAAGGAGTGGGGTGGAAAGTTGTTTTTTTGATTGATGGAGTGCTATCCTCTTCCTTTATATTAAAAAAAAAACATAATACATAAACATATTCTTTAATTTGACTTTAAATTATATTTATGTTTTTTAATTTTGAGTGTCCACAAGTAGATATTTAAACTTGTATAAAGTTGAACAAATAGACACATGTCTTACATGTCATCTTACAAAATATTTTTTGTCCTATTTGGTGTCCTATGTATATTTTGTCTTGTAGAACACATGTGTTTATTTATTTAAAAGTTGGATAGTTAAAGTATATGTTTGTGCATTATGAAAGTTAGAGGTCAAATTAAAATTTGAAGCCAATTTTAGAATTCAATATACGTATTATACCTAAAAAAACACCACCTATCTTTTTCTAATGAATAAAATACATTAAAAATGTCACATCATTTTACTTTTCTGAAAGGGGAACTTTTAACAATTCTAAGAACATTTGATGACTAAATATGAATTTGTAAACAATTTACAATCATTGAATCCAGACAAAAAAGAAATCAATAATCAGTGAATATAGTCCTTTTTTTGACACATGAACTAGTTTATAATCCTCTTACTTTTTTGACCTTTAATACAATTTGAATTTCAAACATCAAAGGTATTGGTCATATTCATAGCAATAGTAGCTTTGTTTACCTGTCCAATTTCCATTAATTAAAATTCACATGCACCTATTTCATAAATAAAAGAGAAGTATGAACTCGGTGAAAATTATTAGTCAAACTTAAAATACTTTTTATTAGACTCAATAAATTTAAATATATTTTTTATTCAACATGACATAACATGTAATCTCAAAATTTTATATGAGCATGAAACTCATAACAAAAAGCTGAGAAAAATACTGTTGAAAATATCCCTAAGTTTGACTAGAAATTAGAGGTTTATTTTATTCATATTATAATAAACTTATGATTTTATGTCGGGTTTAAAAATATTTTTGTGTGTTTCTTCCTAAACAAAATTAAACAAGTTACAAACTTTATCACTAAATTAAGATGGCTTATACTATGCGAAGTTTCGATAGAAAAGTCTTTGGAGTTACTAATGTCGTGTCCAACTTGATCAATGGTGAATGAAAAGTCAAATTAAATAGTTTTCAAAATTTTAAAAATATATTTTTATAAAAATTTATATAAAAGAATAAATGTTTTTTTCATTGACTCTTTATAAGTTCCACAACATACATACCCTTTTTAATTATTTTTCTATCTCTAAGTCTTTTTTGTTTCCAAATAATTGAGTGACCATGGCTTTAATCTCTTCAATTTTACAACATGCCAAGTCTCATTCTTCATCTAAAATATCTACTTATATTCAAAGAAGATTATTTTCTAATGATGTTAGAAAAGAAAATATTGTAATTGTTGGGGCAGGAATTGCTGGCCTTGCTTCTGCCCTTTCACTTCAAAGGTTCAAATTTTCTTTATCTTATAAATTTGCATTTTCCCAATTATATTATTTTATGACCTCGGTGTCCGGGCCACCTTGCTAGATACCTCTCAGCTTACGCAAGCAATAGTGTGGTGAAATTTGAACCTGAGACATCAGAATTCTCGATCGTGAATTTCACAGATCACTAGGCCAACACCTTGGATTTTTTCATTTTTCAAAAAAATATATTTACTTTTTTTGTGAATTTTAATGTTAGGTTTGGTATTAGAAGTTTGGTGCTTGAACAAGCTGAATCATTGAGAACTGAAGGAAGTTCAATAACACTTTCTAAAAATGGATGGAAGGCACTTGATGCTATTGGAGTTGGTGATGAACTTAGGAGTCAATTTCTTGAGCTTCAAGGGTATTTTTGTACAATTTTTAATGTTTTATTCAAATCCATTGCTTATTAATATATCGAACATTGAGTATGTTATTGTTGTTGTTATATATCTGAGTATTGGTTGATTGCACGATGTACAAACATGCATGTGTTGCACTAGTTACTTTCAGCTTATAAGTCAAATTTCTGACTCCACCACTGACCGTACGCTTTAAAGTTCCTCAATGTTGATTTTGACTTTTGATAGAGATTACGCTCTTAAACTTGACGTGTTTTATTCATTGCAAATCTAACATTTTGTTGATGTCATCAATTTTTTCAGGGTAGTAATAAAATCAGATGATGGGAAGGAGTTGAACTCATTTGGGTTCAAAGATGAGGACAAAAGGTAAAATAGTGAGTAACTGATGATACTTTGTAATTGTTATCTTTTTTTATTTTACCTATCTTCTATTGATACTATGAAATTAATGGAGCAGCCAAGAACTAAGGGTGGTTGAGAGAAGAGTCTTACTTGAAACACTAGCAAGTAAACTACCACCAAATTCAATATCTTTTTCGTCGAAGTTGTCAAATATTGAGACAAGTGAAAATGGTACTAATACCTTGTTGCAACTTCAAGATGGTACTCGTGTATCCGCTGAGGTAAATATAATACTTCAATCCCTCACGTTATGATAAGTAACACCGAGATTTGAACTCAGGACCTTTGTCTGCTCTAATACTGTGTTGAATGGTGTGGGTCATTTCGTCTTGAAGATTAGAGAAAGTACAATGTTGTTTACTTAAATTATATCTTCAACGCGCTCGTTAGGTGGTGATTGCTTGTGATGGTGTATGGTCACCAACGGCTAAATGGATGGGATTTCGACAGCCTAAGTATGCAGGGCATATCGCCTTTCGAGGCCTAGGATATTTCCCTGAAGGACAGCCATATGAACCAAAAGTAAACTACACGTATGGAAGCGGATTACGCTCTGGATTCGTTCCTGCTTCTAAAACCAAGGTCTACTGGTTTGTCCTGTGCAACAGCTCATCTCCAGGTATGTGTTTCATCAAAAGTATCTGGTGATTCAAGTCTAGTTCATCATATCTGCATTAGTTTTGAGGTACTTGAGCATTCCCTTGACAACATTAGTTACGGATTACATAGAGAAACCTTAGATAAGAGGAATTGGAGGTCGAGGATTATGATAGAAGGTTAGTTGGTAGTTGAGCGTCCTCCTTTTTCCTGTGGGATCAGTGGTTGTACTTGGATCTTCTTTCTTACCAATGGTATTAGCACTAACCTCATATTCATAGTTTCTTGTTCTTCGATTTCAGTTATCACCTGTTTTTTGTGCTTTGGTTTTTGCATTACTTCGTTGTCATTATCGTTCTTTCTTTTGTATGTTGTGTATGGGTCTCCATTTCACATTATTCGTTGTTGTTATTGCTCTCATTTATGTACTTCCTTTTTCGATCCGTTCGAAAATGCTTTATTTAAACCGAGGGTCTATCGAAAACAACCTCTCTGTCTCTACCAGGTAAGGTATGCATATATAGCTCCTTGCACCCATGGGTGTGGCCTAGTGGTCAATGAAGTAGTTGAGAACCCTGAGGTTCAAAACTCAACGGAGACAATAAACACTAGGTAATTCTTTTCATTTGTCCTAGCCTTGGTAGACAGAGTTACCTAGTACCTATTGCTGGTGGGAAGTGACATATATCCCGTGGAATTAGTCAAAGTGCACGAAAACTGGTTCGGATACCACCGTCATAAAAAAAAAATACATAGACAGCCCCTTAAACTTGCAATAGTTTTCGCTTAGGCACCTTATTTGAATCTCAAAACTCATTATTCCACCAATGTGCCAAAAGAATCAGGGGTGAATATGCCTCATGTGCATATGATAGGCTTCCAGCTTTTGTTCTATTTTGTGTGGGGTTGTTCTTCCATGTTATTGACAGCAAACTTTCCCATGTGGCACCAGTTGTAACAATAGAGCCTCACTTCTTGGATGGAATTTTTCTGTTACCTTTCTAACTTTTGCATCTCTTGGCAGGTCCAAGGATCACAGATCCATCGATTTTGAGATAGCAAGCTAAAGAGCTCGTTAGAGATTGGCCAGTCGCGGACATATTAAACCTGATTAATCTTACACCAGACGATACATTAACAAGAAATCCCCTTTATGACCGATGGCTTTGGCCAGTAATAAGTCCTCCACCTTTTAGTGGAAGGACAGTGCTTGCTGGAGATGCATGGCATCCAATGACACCCAACATGGGCCAGGGTGCGTGTTGCGCGTTGGAGGATTCAATAGTTTTGACAGAAAAGTTAGCAGAAGCAATGAAATCCAAGCATATTTCTGTGGAAGATGCATTCAAAGCATATGGTAGTGAAAGATGGAGACGTGTGTTTCCATTAACAGTAATGGCAAATCGCGTTGGAGCACTGCTGCAGTCTGAGAATAAACTGATATGTTCTGTTAGAAATAATCTCCTTGTGCCTAAGCTGAAGCCCAGAGCATTGACGAAACATACCAATTATGAATTTGAGCAAGCTAAAAGAGACGGACATTAGTTTTTGAGGGAGGAAAACTTAGCAATAGCTTGCCAATAAGATTTCCCTCGAATAGCAATAGACAGAATGTATGTTTTCTTACCAGAAAACGAAAAACAAACTATAGACAGAAATGTATTTCAAAGTAAAGATGTAACATTTTGTGATTCAACAAATTTGCTAATAGAAGTGTTTATGCTTCTGTATTCGAATTCAATACATGCTTCAGCATACAACCAGTTTAACAGTACAGTAACAAAGGGGAAACCTTTAACTATAACACTTGGTGCTTTGGGACAATATAAAACTTTACTCAAAAGCCTGCAACGTGATATCGCCTATGTATGTTGTATACAGTTCACTAATTTAACATATGTATGAGCCATGATTGATGATGTCTATTCTAGATGAGCAATGGAACTTCAATGTCATCCTTCAGATTGATCTTCGGACTTATCAGTTGCATCGATGTCCTCTAACTCCAGCTTTGATGTGAAACTTGTCTTTGAACTGTCTTCGTGGATTTCAGGTTGATTCACAGCAACGTTGAGTCTGGCAACAATTGAATCAGCTTTATTCACCATAGTAACTGCTGTGAGGGATAGAAATATGTCTTAACAGCAAAGTGATAGCGATAAGCTGTTTTTTTTCTCATTCAGCCTACTGGTGGCATAGATAACATTAACCTAGGACTACAATACAACATATGCTATAAAAGGATGATGAAGATCAAAGAAAGAAACTTAATGCGCCCCAACATAAGAAGAAAAGAGTATAATCAACTCGACTAAACCACCATGGAGATACAAGAGTGAACTCCTTCCTTCCAACCACAACTCAAAGAACAACAATCATTAATCAAACAGAAGATCACTAGAGGAAACAATCAACTGTTGGCTAACTACCAATACTCGAAAAAACAAACACCAACAAGTAATAGGTATATTAAGTGTCAACAGAAGTTATGCTGGCTAGTTTTCAAACAGATTCAATCATAATAGTTCAATGTCAAAATTTCTTAAGTAGACAACGTACGCTAATGGCGATTATTACTCAGCTAGTTCTCGATTTCAATATGTATAACCATTTCAAGTGGATTTCATCATCATTTACTATCTATTGATGAAATTGTCCTGTTAACACGAAACTGAGAATCTAGTCAAAGGCTCAATATGGGAGTAAACAACATACACTAAGCTCCAATTTCATCTTAAATACAGACAACATAGAAAACTCCATAAATGAAAGTTCATTTATACTAACCAAAAAAGTACCTACAAGCAAAAGATCTGATTCTTTCTTATCTCTTTTGTGAAAAGAATCAGAAACAATAAAAGCAAAGCATCGAAAAAACAGCATTTATCTTTTTTTTTTTCCAAATCCTATTGATGAATCCAACTTTAAACAAAGTCAACTCAACAAGTACCACAAAATTTCATTCACAAACTCAACATCCAATTTGTTTTTCTTTCCCACCCCGTGTCTGGTAGCCATACTTCAGCCCTAACTAATCCAGATTCACATCCGGAAGGGCTCCGAGAGAAATGTTCCCTACATATCCTCAAATCCGAAACCTCAATACTCCAAATTCCAAACATTACAAAATCAAAAAAACGAAGTAATAAACAAATGGGTCAGCAAGAATTCAACTATAAATGAATAAACTCAACTCTACACATCATAAAAAAAGAATCTTGGAAACACATTCAGCTGAATCAAAAAACACAAAGATAGTGACATTTTCAGTAAAAATTACCCGGGCTAGAGAAAACCCACAAAACAATAGCAGAAAGCAGGAGTATTAAAGGGATAAGATGGATTGCATTTTCAGCAGATCTGAGACGATTTCTTTCCTTTTTAGCAACATGAGATTGGGGATTAAACGTCGGTAGTTCTTCAGTTTCAGTAGAAATTGTTGATTTCAGATTCGGTGAAGAATTAAAAAAGAACTCTTCAGACACTCGTGAAGAACTCGATGAACGGTACATGGCTGATTACAGAAACGGAGGAAAAAATGGAGAATTTGGATGAAAAAATGGCGTATTTTAACTGTTATTTAGGCGGGTTCTGGGAAAGTTGGCAAGTAGCAGACAGCGTGGGAAATGCGAAGTCTTGATAGAAAAAAATGAAGTGGACCTATGAATAAGTTATCACCGACGATTAGTACTTATCGTACTATTTGAAGAGAGATTTCGTCGTTTATCGCGTGGAGTAAAGATAATAATTTTGATTTGACGGTTTAAAATTAATGGAGCTTGGTATAATGGATTTCAATATTAAATCGTTATGTTTGATTAATGAGTACTGAATTTGTTGCATTTGAGCTATAAAAAAAAACATTTGGTGATCTATGTTCACTGAATATATTGGATCGCATATTATAAATTTATTCGAAAGTGATGTTTTTAATAGAACTTTTTTTATTAATGGTGAAACAATCTCACTACTATAATTTTGATTTGAAGGTTTAAAATTAATGGAGCTTGGTATAATGGATCTCAATATTAAATCGTTATGTTTGATTAATGACCTATGAATAATTTATCACCGATGATTAGTACTTATCGTACTATTTGAAGAGAGATTCGTCGTTAAACGCGTGGAATAAAGATAATAATTTTGATTTGAAGGTTTAAAATTAATGGAGCTTGGTATAATGGATCTCAATATTAAATTGTTATGTTTGATTAATGAGTACTGATTTTGTTGCATTTGAGCTATAAAAAAAACATTTGGTGATCTATGTTCACTGAATATGTTGGATCGCACATTGTAGATTCATTCGAAAGTGATGTTTTTAATAGAACTTTTTTATTAATCGTGAAACAGTCTCACTACTATAAAACAACAAAACAACTCAGGTTGATTCTCTCATATATAAAGTGGATAATTAATCTCATATAGTTTCCTCCAAATGATTTAATAGGAAAAGAATAAAAAAATTTAAAAAAATTTAAGGAATAATGCCCAAGTACCCCTCAACCTATGCCCGAAATCTCAGAGACACACTTATACTATACAAGATCCTATTACCCCTGAACTTATATTATTAATAATTTTTTACCTCTTTTTAACTTACGTGGCACTATCTTGTGGGCCCAAAGATGGTTGAATTTTTTTTCGAACTAGTGCCACGTAGGCTAAAAAGGGGTAGAAAATTACTTATAAAAAAAGTTCAGGGGTAATAGAACCTTAGTATAGTATAAGTGTGTCTCTGAGATTTCGGGCATAGATTAAGGGGGTATTTGAGTATTTTCCCAAAATCTAAACAAGTCGAGTCGATCAAAAACACATGAAAGAATATATAAACTCTAAACATAGTGAACTTCCAAATATGTTTTGAGAACTAATATATTTTTTTTACGTAATAATAAGTTAAATGAGTTTAAAAGGATAAAAATTGTATTAAAGTATTCTTTGAAAAAAGTTTTATATTTGAGTTATATATGTGATTTCTATTTGAACTATAAATAGTATATCTCGATAAACATAAGTGATATTTGATCTATCCCTATATTGATCATCTTTTTGTATTATTAAAATTAAATTATTGAGATGTTAATGGAGAGAATACGATAAATCAATCACATTTAAGTAAAGCAAAGTGACCTAACTATATATACTAATTGAATTACTTCATTTAATCAATAATAGGATAAAATACGTTAAAATATCAATAAAGATATAAATACAGTATAATAAAACAAAATCAAGTATAATTAATGGGATAGAAATAGGAAGTGCAATATCTATACATACAACATTATTTATTTTTTGGTAAAGGGCAAGTTTATATTCTGAGAACCAAATTATTACTGGCAATTTACTTTTTATTATTTGTACTTATCTGCCTAAAATGAACAAATATGTTTAAGCTACTTTTATTTTAAAAACATTTACAACTAGAGTATGATAAAATAAAAATAACCTAATTTTATCTTAATTTGGCAAAATAATAAATAAATTAAGATAAAGACTTTTGATAATTAATTATTATGAGACAGAAAGAGTACATTATTTTATTGGTAAAGGACAATTTTTATATTCTGAGAACAAATTATTGCTACATATCATTTGGCACTTTTACAGCTCATTCCACTTCTGAACTCTTTTATATATATATATATATTTATTTAAAATAATAATACTTATATTCCTCTCAATTTCTTAAATTAAACATAGATCGTCAAAAAAATTAAAATTCATATAAAACTTTTCTCTAAAAGTTACTTTACAAAAAGCTTATTTGAAAAGTAAACAAAAATCAAATTAAATTAAGTGACGTGATAATTAAGGTTTGTGTTTCACTTATTCCTAACGTTGCCGTAACTCTATCTAATTTAGACTTCTAGAATCATTATTAGTTCAAATTGTTAAGTTTTTTATAATAATCAATTTAATATGATCGTTTTAAGTATCTCACAAAGTTATTTACTATTTTGATCAATTAAATAGATTCCATAAATCCCTTTATTGTTGTTATACGTTATTTTTGCTTTTTGTTGACTTAATTTCCTTTCATGTGAGGAAAAAAACTTTTATTGATAATTTAATAATTTTCACTTTATAGTTTGTGAAAAGTTTAGCGTGTTGATAATTCCTTTTGGCAAAACTTAATAGATCCATGAATCCCTTCATATTTTGTGAAAAATTTAGCATGTTGATACTTCATTCATCAATTTCTGTTTTTCGTAAGTTAATTTAATTGATTTTTAAATTAAATTAAGTTGTATTAGTTTGATATATTCTAAAGGAAAAATGCACAAGTATTTTCCTAAATTATGATTAAAATTTTAGAGACACACCTTAATTAAATTAAGGTTCTCTATTATCCTGAACTTAATTTTTTTTGTAATTTTGTGCACCTTTTTAGCTTACGTAACACTCAAATAACTCTACGCAATTGAGGCGCGTGAAAGATGTTTCGATGTCACGTAAGCCAAAAAGGTGTAAAAATTACCAAAAATACGTTCAGAGGTAATAGGACCTTACTTTAGTTAAGGTGTGTCTCTGAAATTCGGTCATAATCTAGGGGTACTTGTGCATTTTTCCTATTTTAAATAAAAAATTAAGATATTTAAAAAATATTATTAATTATAAATTTTTTTGTATATCAATATAATTAAATCAACTTGTCACGACCCAATTTCTCGAGCCATGAAGGCACCTACTATAATCTACCAGTAGGTAAGTCAAACCACAACCCAGAACA